GACCTTGAACATGTTATACATAATCCAAGCTACTCCATGAACAAATTTTAAGAGCAAATTGTAATAGAAGTACAAATAGAATTAGTACATATAAAAAAGTCACAAACCTCGGGGCTGGGACCGTAGCTCAGTAGCAGAGCGCTTGCCTAGCATGTGCAAGGCACTGGATTTGATCCTTAGCATCATATACAAATAAAATAAAGGCATTCTGTCCATCTACAACTACAAAAAATTAAAAAAAAAAAAAAAAAAGTCACAAACCTGAGATTTCACAAACTTATAAAGATTTATCAGTAGCCTTTTTGCTTCTGGTATCATTACCACAACAGTAAAGTTAGCATCCAGAAGTAGACATATCCAATCCATGATCTGAAGATAAATAGAAAAAGGAAACTTAAGATTATAAATTTAATTTTAATTCATGTAATAAATCCATAATTTTACCAATTAGTTACAAAAAATATTCTTTTACAAAAATCTGACAATTTTTTTTTTAAAAGAGAGAGGGGGAGAGAGAGAGAGAGAGAAGTTTTTAATATTATTTATTTTTTAGTTTTCGGCAGACACAACATCTTTGTTTGTATGTGGTGCTGAGGATCAAACCAAGGCCGCACGCATGCCAGGCGAGCACGCTACCCCTTGAACCACATCCCCAGCCCAAAAAATCTGACAATTTTGATTTGCAGATGGAGGAACTTGAAGAAACACAAAAGGGCTTTATTTTATGCATTTACACTTGCTACTTTGCTGCGAGCATAACTGAATCTTTTTCATGGGGCTGTTATTTGGGATAGGGTGTTCCTAAGTTGCTGAGGCTGGTCTTCCCTGCACTACTAGGCCTGGCTTAGGATAAATTTTTCTGGTATAGGGATTGAATTCGGGGGCACTCAACTACTGAGCCACATCTGTAGCCCTATTTTGTATTTTATTTAGAGACAGATTCTCAATGAGTTGCTTAGCACTTTGCCATTGTTGAGGTTGGCTCTGAACTCTCAATCCTCCTGTCTCAGCCTCCTGAGCCGCTGGGATTATAGGCATGAGCCACTGTGCCCAGCAAGGATAATTTTTTTTTGTGGTGCTGGGGATTAGAACTCAGGGCCTTGTGCATGTGAGGCAAGAACTCTACCAACTGAGATATATCCCCAGCCCAAGGATAAATTTTAACAGGAAAGCTAGAGTGATATTTTATCCAAGGGRGAGTTAAACAAACGTAAGTTCACTTTCTTCTTCTTTTTTTAGGTAGTGTGGGAGACTGAAACAGGGTCTTGTACATGCTAGTCAAGCAATCTACCACTGGGCTACACTCCCAGGCCTTAAGTTTACTTTTAAGTAATTATCTGTAGTCAAAAATTCTTGTTTGTTTGTGTTTTGTGGCTAGAATGAAGAACTTTCACAAGGTAGGAAAACACTCYACCACCAAGCTACATTTCCAGCCCTTCAACTTCTATTCGGAAAGGATGGGGTACTGGGTAGCACAGATGAGCTACTACGAACTAAAATAAAACTTAATAAAAATATCCTGTGTAATTGTACATCCTCAAATGGTATAGTTAACATACAGAAATCACTGTCATAAAAAAGCATTAAGGAAGGGCTGGGGTTGTAGCTTAGTGGTAGAACATTTGCTTAGCATGTGTGAGGCACTGGGTTTAATTCTCAGCACTGCATACAAATAAATGAATAGAATAAAGATTCATCAGCATCTAATTAAAAAACAACAACAACAACAACATTAAGGAAACTGGTTATTCATTTGTGGAGAGGGAGTTTGATCCCTAAAAATCCTTTTACACTAAATAAATACTATGTCGGTTGCAGTGGTGCATGCCTATAACCCTTGTAGCTAAGGAGACTGAGGCAGGAGGACCACAAGTTCAAAGCCACCCTCAACAACTTATCAAGGCCCTGCTTGAAATAAAAATTTTAAAAAAGGGCTGAGGAATGTGGCTCAGTGGTTGAGCACCCCTGGGTTCAATTCCTAGTACCCCAAACAAACAAAAGACCAAATAAATAAAATAAAACAACGAATGTACTAAGAAAACAAGATGACTATACTATTACTGTGGGAAGGCCTTTACATATCACATGAGCCCTATTAAAGGAAAAGCTTAGTACTTTTTTGGGGGGTGGGGAGGATTACCAGGGATTGATTCAACTCAGGGACACTCAACTACTGAACCACATCCCCAGTCCTATTTTATATTTTATTTAGAGACAGGGAGTTACTTAGTGTCTCACTTTTGCTGATTTTGGCCTTGAACTTGGGATTCTCCTGCCTCAGCCTCCSGAGTTGCTGGGATTACAGGCTTGGATCACTGGGCCTGGCAAGTTTAGTACTTTTTAACAACATAAAAATTAAAAACTCTTCTATGTCAAAAATTTTGCTAAAAAGAGTAAAAGAATAAATGATGGGGAAAAAAGGTTTATAATGTATCTGACAGGAAAAGGCTAAATACTTTAATATACAAATTAAATACAACAGATTAGAAATGCAACATAAATATGCACAAAGAGCCTGACTCAGCAAGTCCTTTTCATAAAACGAAATATAAATGGATAATAAATATAATAGTGTACCTCTTCCATTATCAAAGAAATGCAAATTAAAAATAAGGTAATATTTTGTTAACTTTCTGGTTGGCAAAGAATAAAAAGTTTGACAATACTAGGTATCAGGAAGAATGTGGAAAATAAGGATAAGAACCGTGATAGTAGGAGTGGCAATTGTCACATTGTCACAACTCTGCAAAGGTAACTGGGCACTGACAAAATGAGAGAAATGTGTCTGAGTCTATTCCAAGAATAAAAGAAAGTTCTTGGGCCAGGTTGGAGTCAGAGGTAGAGTATTTGCCCAGCATACACAAGGACCTAGGTTCAATCCCTAGCACTGCAAAAATACARAAATAAATAATCAGAAGTATTTAAAAAATATTTCCAGACATGAAGGAATATATGTATACATTCACATACATATATTTGAAAATATATATAATACACACATACACACACATACTCTCACACATTTGGCAGTACTGAGGATTGAACCTGCATGAATGAATGCATTGCTASCCCTTTTTATTTTTTATTCTGAGACAGTGTTTCAAAAGTTGCTAAGACTGTCTCACACTTGTGATCCTGCTGACTTAGCTTCCTGAGTTACAGATATGTACCACGATGTCTAGCAGTAAGAAAATGACTGGAGAGTCTCATAAGTAAAAATCAGGAAATTAAGATAAATTTGTGTATAGAATTGTGGATCTAAAAATCCACAAAGAACCTGACAAAGAAAATTCAGAGTTCCTACTCCAACTCCAGTGGTCTCTGTATATGGTGAAGGAAGAGATACAATAGTCTCCCTAATCTTGGAGACAAGGAAAAATCAGTTACTGATTTCCAGAGGCTGAGATTGCATACAACCTGTCTGAAAAAATAAAAAGTTATCTGACCTGGCTTAGGGTTGGCGGGTGTATTCCAGGAAGCGTCATGGTAGCATTTTCACTACACTTCAAATAAAGGAAATACAAATACTGGAGAAATAGCTGGGTAGAAAAGAAAAAAAGGCAAGTTACCACCTTGGTAAAAAATTTTCTATACACGTAAAGAATTTTCAGAGGCTGTCCAATCAAATCATATATCACACAAATAAACTAGATATCTGGGGACAAAAAAATAAATAAAAYAATATCCCTGTCATCACTGAGGAACTCATTTAGTTTAGGACCAATGGGTTTATTTTGTTTATAAATAACAGGCAGAGAACAAGAGAATTCTTCTTTAAGCAATTYTTCTTAGACTCATTTATAACTTAGATGGCTTAATGTGATTTTTCAGGCTTGGTACAAATAAAATGCCAAGGTCTATCACCCCCAAATCACTCTATTCCCTAGGCACAATTCTTTCACCATGAAATAATTTGATAACCTTTAGAATGTCCTAACTGCTGGGCAAAGTTAAGCAGAACAACTTAAACCAGAAATAAAATTCTATGGGACTTGTATGTATACTTACAGTGATATGCTGTGCAGGGATGTCCTTCAAGTGAGGCAGAAGAAATACCTCACTGTATGCTGAATGAAGAATTGCATTTCTACTTAGGACTAAAGGAAAGCATCTTACTTCAACAAATAAAGGGTATAAATTCAAGCAATTCCTTTCTTAAATTTATACAAAAATATTACTTATCTAATCTAGAAAAGATTCACCACCAAACATTCTCCTAGTTTAGAGATCATTTGGAATACTTCATTAATATAAATATTAGTTTTTAGAACTGATAGAGCTTCTAATTCAGTATGGTTTCTTGTCCGCCCCCCCCCCACCTTTACATTACTGAGGATTGAACCTCGGAGACTTTTATCCCTAGCCCTTTTAAAACTATTTTGAGACAGGGTCTCACTAAGTTGCTTAGGTGGCTTACGACTGTATCCCTAGAAAGAGATTGTGTAAGGGGAACTTGTTTCAAAGGATACAATAGAGCTGCTCTTTTTGGCGTTACAGGGCATGAGGTGGTCTCCTCTGCTGCATTCTGAGGCTTTTCATTTACCTTTTGATTAAAGTTACCGCAGTTACCATTTTCAGGACTAAAGCCATTTTGAAGAATTTCAGGTTGCTCTTCCATTTTCTCATCTTGTTCGGTATCACTATAATCAAAAACTGACTCCATATTGATATTAATTTCTTGAAGACTGTCATCACCAATGCTATGTTAATTGAAAGCAAGAGGTTAATTCTTATCATTACTTGAACATTTGGAAGAAAATTCATTTTCTTTTTTTTTTTGGTACCGGGGATTGAACCTACAAATGTAGGGCTATATCCTCATCCCTTTTTATTTTTTACTCTTTTTTTTTGGGTTGTGGGGATTGAACCCAAGGCCTTGTGCATGTGAGGCAAGTACTCTACCACCAACTGAGCTATATCCTCAGGATCTTATTTTTTACTTTGAGTCAGGGTCTTACTAAGTTGTTTGGGGTCTTGCTAAGTTGCTGAGGGTAGCCTCAAATTTGTGATCTTCCTGCCTCAGTTTCCCAAAACTGGGATTAAAGGCATGAACTACCACGATGGGCTTTATTTTTGAGATAAAGTCTCTCTACGCAGCTTAAGGCCTCACTAAATTGCTGAGACTGGCCTTGAACATATGATCTTCYTGTCTTAGCCTGCTAAGCTGCTAGGATTATAGCATGTGTCACCACACCYGGTTAGCAAATTAATTTCCTAAGGATTCCAAGTCTTAGAAACCAAATAATGTAAGAGATTTAAAATGTACTGAAGAAAAAGACCATTAGATCTTAACTTACCTCAAGAAAATTTTTAAGCAAGCGCAGGTGACTGACTCAGGAATATCAGGAAACTGGTGCAGACAAAGTTGTAACATCTGTACATCTGTTTTTTCTAAGGCGATTTCCATTAAGCCAGAACATAAGCTAAGGAAAAAAAAAAAGAATTAAAATAATTTTTATATGTTAAGAAAAATCTCAATTATAAAAAACAAAGTTAAAAGAGTAATACATATAAAGTGTATATCAATACCTACCTGTAGGAAAGTGTGTGTGTTTGGATAAGCTGTATGAGACAGTTCCTGGGATAAAATGATGGTTCTGCTTTACATCTTCCCAGAAGTTCTGTTACTATGTCCCCAATTTGTGTATGAAAGTCAGGTGTCCACTTGGCAGCCAAAAATTTACGTAGTTCTACTTCAATGTGTTTTTCTGAATCTTTCTGAAAGGGCAGAATTGAAGAGTTTGGCCTTGCACAATAACAAATGTCGCTCTGAACTTAAAAATTTCCTAGCAAAACATTTTTTTTTTCAAATCACCAACAGTATTCATGCATTCCTATGAAAAGAACTGACACTACAATTTACTACAAAAAGCTGCAAAGAGCCAGTCACAATGGCACATGCCTGTAATCCCAGTGATTAGGAAGGCTGAGACAAGAGGATTGCAAATTCAAAGCCAGCCTCAGCAATGGTGAGGCACTAAGCAACTCGTGAGACCCTCTCAATAAAATATAAAATAGGGCTGAGATGTGGCTCAGTAGTTGAGTGCCCCTGAATTCAATCCCTGGTACAAAAAAAAAAAAAAAAAAAAAAAAAAAAAAAAAAATTCAAGGGTTTAGAAATCTAAATCTTTATAAGGCTAAATTATGAACAATCAATAAAAAGTTCAATGAGAAACTCATGAGGACAATACTATAACACTAATGTAATAAGATGATAGTGAAGAGGCAAATAAGACAAAGCTTTCAATCAACTCTCTCAACCTTAAGATATAATAACAAATTTAGCTATAGCTATAAAAATGTTTAATAAAAATGGTAGAATGGATGGGTATGGCTGAGGCTTCTGACTAAGTTCAAACCCAGCCTAAGCAACATAGCAAAACTCTGTTTCAAAATAAAAAATAAAAAAGGGMTAGAGATGTGGTTCAGTGTTTAGCCTTGGGTTCAATCCCTGGTACCAAAGAACAAAACCAAAAACATTCCATTATATTGGTATAGGCACCAACTTCCATAATGAGACACCTAAAGCTCAAGAAATTAAAAAAAAAAAAAAAAAAAGAAACAATCAGTAAGTGGGATAGCATCAAATCAAGAAGCTTCTTTAGAGCAAAGGAAACAAGAACATAAAGAAAAACCTAAAGAATGGAAGAAAATCATAGAAAGCTATTCCTCCAATWGGGGATTAATATCCAGAATATATAAAGAACTCAAAAAACTTACCTCAAACAAACAACAACAAAAACAAATAACCCAATCAATAAATGAGCAAAAGAACTAAACGGACATTTCTCAAAAGAAAAAAAATGGGTGGTGTGGTGCCACACACCTATAATCCCAGCAACTTGAGAGGATGAGGCAGGAGGATCACAATACCACAGAAGTGTAAAAAAAGAGGTGGAATGAAGAGTAGATGGAATTTTTTTTTTAACTATTTGGGTTGATTTTTCATATTTCCAGTATTTTTTATTTACCWTGATGGTTGATAGAAGTTGTTCTGATACTGGAACTTCTGGCTGTAAACTCACTTCAAGTTTTTTCCTCCTTAACTGGAAATTAAGTAAACTGATTAGGATCTCAATCACACAGTGTCAAAAATAAACTCTGTTATAGGGAATAGTGGTTTTATTTTAGCTTTGAAATAAAGTATGTGAAGATTATCTGTTTTCCTTAACATTTTTCTTTCAATAACTAAACTTACAATTCTCCTTGACTGCTCTGAGTTCTGTGATCCAAGTCCATATCCCTGAGATGTTTCCCAGTTAACAAAATGGGGTATGGTGTGAGTGCCTAAGAAAACATAAAATATAAAATTTCAACAATATTTTCACCTACAGTTATTCATCCAACCAACCAAAGAACACTAAACAACAACCACTTGTGCAATTTAAGAGAGGTTTTTCAGCCAGGCACAGTGGCACATGCCTGTAATCCCAGAGACTTGGGAGGTTGAGATGGGAGGATTGCAAGTTCAAAGTCAGCCTCAGCAACTTAGCAAGTCTTTAAGCAACTYAGTGAGAACTATCTCAAAATAAAAAATAAAAAAAGACTGGGGAGGTGCTGGGATTGTGGCTCAGTGGCAGAGTACTTGCCTCGCACGTATGAGGCACTGGGTTCGATCTTCAACACCACATAAAAATACGTAAATAAAATAAAGATATTTTGTCCTTCTACAACTAAAAAAAAATAAAATAAAATAAAATAAAATATCAATCCTGGTGCCAAAAAAAAAAAAAAGAGAGAGAGACAGAGAGAGGTTTTGAAATCCATGTAATTCTACTAACAATCTCAAATCAGTATAGTATACTTAAAGGGTATATGCCTACACTAGCAACATTAAGCTACCAGATGAGGCTGATGGCTGAAAGTAAACAAGGGAGTGAAATGGTATTACTGTGAGGAATTTCCTCTCCCACAGGCTCTAAAAGTCAGAAAAACATTGGCATGTGTCAGCTAGGCATGGTGGGTGCATGCGATAATCCCAGAGGAGTGGGAGGTTAAGGCAGGACGATCATGAGTTCAAAGTCAGCCTCAGAATCTAGCAAGGCCCTAAGCAACTTAGTGAGACCCTGTCTCTGAATAAAATATTTAAAAAATAAATGAAGGAAGGAAGGAAGGAAGGAGGGAAGGAAGGGAAGGACGGACAGGCTGGAGATGTGGCTCAGTGGTTAAGAGCCCCTGGGTTCATTCCCTAGTACAAAAAAAAAAAAAAAAAAAAAAAAAATAGAGTATGACTCTTCAGTCTGTAGCAGTACTTGCAATGTGGAACATTCCCACAGTAGTTGCCTTGGTCAAGGAAGTTTCAATGAACAGCAGCAAATTGCAACATTAAAAATAAGCTATATGGAGGCTGGAGTTGTAGCTCAGTGGTAGAGCGCTTACCTAGCATGTGTGAGGCACTGGGTTCAAACTTCAGTACCACATAAAAATAAATAAATAAAACAAAGGTATTGCATCCATCTATAACTTAAAAAGAGAAAGAAAGAAAACAGGCGTACTGGGGATATAGCTCAGTGGCACAGCATTGACCTAGTAAGTTTGAGACCCTGGGTTCAATACCCAGGTATCATATACACATATAAAAAGAGTWAACTCAGTCAATAAGAAGTTATGGATATCTACATATGAAAATGGGAGTTAATAAGATGTTTTTATTAATAAAATGTGTACACACAAACATATATAAGTAAGTTTTTACCTGCATCTTGACTATGCTTGAGTTTTCCAAGAGCACCAGCTAATGATGATACTTCACACTTATATGGAATCACAGTTAGAACTTTTCCATGTAGCATAAACAAATTTTCACCATAATACCAGAGCTGCAAAAACAGTAATCAAAACTATAAGCAAATTTTGTTCTAATATCTAACTCAATAAAGCCTTATAACTTATTACATTATCTTACTTATAAATTATCTCAGTAAAACACAAGGCAAAGACAATAAACTTTTTAGATGGTATTTTTTAAGTGACATATTGTGCTTATTTTTTTTAAATATTTATTTTTTTGGTGTAGATGGACACAACACAATGCCTTTATTTTTATGTAGTGCTGAGCATTGAACCAGGGTCTCGCCCATGCAAGGCGAGTGCTCTACTGTTGGGCCACAATACCAGCTTTTAGATGGTATTTTTTTTTTTTTTTTTTTTAGTTACACATGGACACAATATATTTATTTTATTTTTTATTTATTTATTTATTTTTTTTTTAAAGAGAGAGTGAGAGAGGAGAGAGAGAATTTTTTTAATATTTATTTTTTAGTTCTCGGCGGACACAACATCTTTGTTGGTATGTGGTGCTGAGGATCGAACCCGGGCCGCACGCATGCCAGGCGAGCGTGCTACCGCTGAGCCACATCCCCAGCCCTTTATTTTATTTTTATGTGGTACTTAGGATTGAACCCAGGGCCTCACATCTGTGAGGCAAGCGCTCTGCCACTAAACCACTACCCCAGCCCTAAATGGTATTTTWAAATCAGAAAAATCAGACGAACATATACATTTAAAATAACTGAGCTAGCTGTGGTGATGCATTTCTATAATTCTAGAAACTTGGGAAGCATTGCAAGTTGGTGACCACCCTCAGCAATAGTGAGACCCTGTTTCAAAACAAAAAGGGCTGGGGATGTAGCTCAGTGACAGAGTACCCCAGGTTCAATCCCTAGTACTGCAAAACAAACAAATAACTGAATTGTTCAAAATTAATAGTCACTATTAAATATTTATTAATACGATAATTTCCAAGGTCACTGTAACACAAAATGTAATAATGTATTAAGTGAAAGATATAGAATTGAACACTTAGTTTTTGGCGGACACAACGTTTGTTTGTATGTGTGCTGAGGATCRAACCCGGGCCGCACGCATGCCAGGCGAGCGTGCTACCGCTTGAGCCACATCCCCATCCCCACTTTATATCTTATGATTTCAATTTTTAAAAAAGTTTTTTTGGTTGTAGAGCTGGGGATATAGCTCAGTTGGTAGAGTGCTTGCCTTGAATGCACAAGGCCCTGGGTTCAATCCCCAGCACCACACACACACACAAAGTTTTTTTGGTTGTTGATGGATCTTTATTTCATTCATTTATTTATATGTAGTGCTGAGAATCAAACCCAGTGCCTCACACATGTGATGTAAGCATTCTACCAGTGAGCTAAGACCCATCCCTTATGACTTCAATTTTAAGATAGGTACATGAACAAAAAAATTTGACAGAAATGAAACAAGGGGCTGGGGATGTGGCTCAAGCGGAGCGCGCTCGCCTGGCATGCGTGCGACCCGGGTTCGATCCTCAGCACCACATACCAACAGAGATGTTGTGTCCGCCACGAATTAAAAAAAAAAAATATTTAAAAAAAAAAAAAAATTCTCTCTCCCTCTTCCCTCTCTCACTCTCTCTTAAAAAAAAAAAAAGAAATGAAACAAGTTTGTTAGAATGGTGGAATTGCAAGTAGTTAATTTTGTTAAAATTACCAATAATATCTTGTTGCTCTAAATATTTTGTTTGCATGTGAACATATACTTTCTAAATAATATTTATTCATTACCTTTGGTAAGTATAGAAAGTACAACAGAATACAAAATAGACAAGGACCTTGTTTCAGGAAGTCTGGTCAACTTTAATTATTTAAGTAATTCCATGACAACATTTACCATATAACCTAAAAGATGAATTTCTTAGGAAAATAACAACTTCTGGTGTAGTTCAAAATTAAAAAAAAAAAAAAAAGAGTAGCTAAAAACAGAAGTTATTGTATTAACTAGCTAATTCATCTCCTTTGATGTATTAGTAGCTATAATTGAGTCTTAAAAAAGATGAAAGGGGCTGAGGTTGTGGCTCAGCAGTAGAGCACTCACCTYGTATGTGCGAGACCCTGGGTTCGATCCTCAGCATCATATAAAAATACATAAGTGAAATAAAGGTATTGTGTCCAACTACAATTAAAAAATAAATGTTAAAAAAAAAATATATGATGAACAAGGGCTGGGGTTGTTGCTCCATGGTACAGCACTCACCTCACACATGTGAGGCCTGAGTTGATCCTCAGCACCACATAAAAATAAATACATGTATAAAAACATAAAAATAAAAATGATGAACATATAAAAACTATTAAAACAACAGTCAAACAAAACATAACCCTTCAGGCAGAAAATAAATTTAATTTAAATATATTTTAGATCTAAAGAGATTTCTTCCCTTCCAGAATATTTGTCAGATACAAAAATAAGTAAATTTGAAAAAGTCCTTGTGAAAAACTTACTTGACCACTGGTCCCTTGTGGTAATTCTTTTGAAGTCTGCAGGGTTTGAAATTTTATGTTCCATATGGAGAGGCGGTCTATAAAACAAGACATATAAACTAGATATAGTCAGAGTGTAAATAGAGAATATACTAGGGCAAGGTAAGGTAATCATGAGTAGTTAATTTTGTTAAGGAGTCATAGATAAGTATACAAGTTTTGTTTTACTAAGTATGAAAGTGGGTAATAAAGAGTGATTGCCAGGCTGGGGATATAGCTTAGTTGGTAGAGTGCTTGCCTAGCATGCGCAAGGATCTGGGTTCAATCCTTGGCACCACAAAAAAGAGTGACTCCCACAGAAACTTAAGTGGACCAGAAAGAAGGATTAGCTCTGAAGAATGCAGGTCTTAATGGTTGGTTATAAATCCGTTACAAAAAAAAAAAAAAAAAAAAAGCCCAAGACAGTGTGCATGCCTATAAGCCCAGTAGCTTCAGAGGCCGAGGATTATGAGTTCAAAGCTAGTTTCAGCAACTCAGAGAGACCCCAAACGACTCAGCGAGACCCTTAAAAAATAATAATAATAATACAGGTGCTGGGAATGTGGCTCAGTGGTTAAGAGCCCCTCAGTTGAATCTCCAATACAAAAAACAAAACAAAACAAACAAACAACAACAAAAAACAAAGACAAGGATCAGATGGTTTCATTGATGAATCCTATCAAACATTTAAAGAATTAACACCAAACTCTCAAAATACAAAAGAAGAGGAAACATCTCCTCACTCATTCCATGAGGCCCATATTACCCGGAAACTAAAGCCAAAGACACCACACAAAAAAACTACAGATCAATATCCCTTATGAGTTTGGATACAAAAAAAATTTCAACAAAATACCAATAAAATGAATTTGACAACATGGTAAAATTTATGACCAAATGAGGTTTATTCCAGGGATGCAAGGTGGGTTCAACATAATAAAATTAACAAGGGTAGTATACCACATTAGTACAACAGAGAAAAAAACCACATGATCATGYCAGTGTGCAAAAAAATGCAGCTGATAATCCAATACTCTTTCATAATAAAAACACTCAGAAAACTAGAAATAGAAAGGGATTTCAACAATAAGATAACAGGTATTTGTAAAATATCCATGGCTATCGTCATACTCAACGGTCAAAGACTGAAGACTTTCTCTTTAAGATATGGAACAAGACAAGGACTCCCCTTTGCCTATGCTACTCAATCCTGTAGTAGAAGTTCCATGGGTTAATTAAAAAGAAAAAAGCATCCAAATTTCAAATGAAGCAAACTTATTATATTTACAGTTGACATGATCCTGTATAGTAAAAAATGCCAAAAACTATATCCGGATACACACAAAGACTAGCATTAATAAATGCATTCTGCAAATTTTAAGGTAGAAGATCAACACACAAACTTCAGTTGTGTTTCTGTACAAAATAAGTGAAAAATTTAAAAATGAAAATGTCAAGGGGTTGGGGATATAAAAGTGCTTGCTTAATTAGCATGAGGTTTGAGTTCTAGTGCCCACCCCCCMAAAAAAGGATTCCATTTACATTAATATCCAAAATAAAAAATTTAGCTAAGGAGGTGAAAGATAAGGAAAACATAAACAGCTGGACAGACATCCTGTGTTTATGAACTGGAAGACTTAACGTTGCTAAGATGATAATACTGCACAAAGCAATCTACAGATTCAATTTAATACCTATCAAAATTATAACTGTCTATTTTTTTGCAGAAATGGAAAAGCCAAACCAGGTGGAATCTATAATCCCAACTACTCAAGAAGCTGAGGTAGGATCATAAATTTGAGGCCAGCCTGGGAAATTTAGTGAGACTCTCAAAAYGAAAACAAAAAGGTCCAGGGATGTAGCTCAGTGGCACAGCATTAGCCTAGCAGCTTGAAATACAGCTCCAATCCCAGTGTGGAAAAAAAAGAAAAAAAGAAAGAAATGGGAAAACCAATCCTGAAACTCATAGGGAACTGCCAGCCAAATAATCCTGAAAGAAAGGGGGGAAAAAAAACAACACAAATCAAAACAAAACAAAACAAAATGTAAAAGTAGCTAAAACAATCCTTAAAAAGAATGAAGTTGGAGAACTCATATTTTCTGATCTTAAGATTTASTAGGGGGCTAGGGTTGTGGCTCAGTGGTAGAGTGCTCACCTAGCATGCTTGAGGCACCGAGTTTGATCCTCAGCACCACATAAATGTAAAATAAAGATATTGTGTCCACTTAAACTAAAAAGACTTACTGTAGGCTGGGCACAATGGCAAATGCCTGTAATCCCCGGGGCTTGGGAGGCTGAGGCAGGAGGATAGAGAGTTCAAAGCCAGCCTCAGCAAAAAGCGAGGCGCTAAGAACTCAGTGAGACCCTTCTCCAAATAAAATACAAAAACAGGGCTAGGAATGTGGCTCAGTGGGTGAGTGTCTCTGAGTTCAATCCCCACTACCAAAAAGAAAAAAAAAAAAAAAGATTTAYTGTAAACTTGCATAAACAGTACTGAATAGAACAGTCATCTATAGCCAAATGATTTTTCAAAAAGGGTGCCAAGACCATTCAAATGATGCTGGGATGGCTGATTAACCTCATGCACAGGAATGAAGTTGGACTCTTAGTTCATGCTGTACACAAAAATTAACTGAAAACGGATCAATAACAAATATAAAAGCTAAAATCACAGCGGGGTGCGATGAAGCGTATCTGTAATCCCAGTGGCTTGGGAGGCTGAGGCAGAAGGATCGTGGGTTCAAAGCCAGACTCAGCAAAGGTGAGCTGCTAAGCAACTAAGTGAGACCCTGTCTCTAAATAAAATACAAAATAGGGCTGGAGATGAGGCTCAGTGGTTGAGTACCCCTGAATTCAATCCCCAGTATAAAAACAAAACAAAACAACAACAAAAAACTAAAAATCATAAAACTCAGAAGAAAAAACTGGGTTAATCTTCATGACCTTGGATTTGACAATGTATTCTTAGATATGACAACAAAATAACATGCAACAAAAGAAAAATATAGATAAATTGGATTTCATCAAAATTAGAAACATTAGTGCTGCAAAGGACATTATCAAGAAAGTAAGTAAAAAAACAATCTACAGAATGGAAAAAAAGTATGTGGAAATCACATGTCTTGATAAGGGGCATTATATATAAAGAACTCTTACAAATGAACAAAAAGACAAATTACCCAATTAAAAAAAAACAGAAAAAGGACTTAAATAGGTATTTCTCCAAAAAGACGTATAAATCACCAACAAGCATATGGAAAAATGTTTAAGATCAAAAGCATAATGAGTACCACTCTCTACAACCACTATGATGACTATTATGAAAAATAGCAAATATTGCTGAAGATGTAGAAAAATTGGAAAGAACACTTGTATAATACTGGTGGGGATGTAAAATGACTTAATTACTGTGGAATTCAGTGGTTCTTCAAAGAGTTAAACACTGAATTATCATATAACGCAGCAATTCCATTGTTAAGTATATACCCCAAAGAATTAAAAACTGGTACTCAAATATACCTGTACATACATGTTTATTCCATTATCACAATAACCCAAAAGTGGAAATRGCATAAAAGTTACTATATGATCCTGGAATGGGAAGCAACTGCTTAGTAGGTATAGATTTTTTTTGGGGGGGGGGCACGGTACAAGGGATTGAATCCAGTGACACCTACCACCAAGTTACACCTATAGTTCTTTCTACTTTTGGGAAAAGATCTCTCTAAATTTGCCCAGGCTGGCTTCGAACTTGTGATCCTCCTGCCTCAATTTCCTGAGCAGTGCCTGCATGTGGCACTGTGCCCACTAGTCTGGTTTCTTTTTAGGATGATGAAAATGTCTTAAAACTAACAGAGATGGGAGCTGTATAACATGAGGGGAAGCATAACAACAAAATCAATCTACTAAATGACACTGAACTATTCATTTAAAAATGATCATTTTATGTTATGTGACTTTTAACTTCAAAAAAGAAAAAAAAGTGAACGATTAATGTTGAGCTAGAAGGAAAATACACTGCAAGATATCTATTCAATGAAATATTATGCAGCTGGTTGGAAAAGCCAAGGAAGCTAAAATAAGTGGTGATATGGGGATCTCTAGTAGTATTAGCTTGTACATATATAAGAAAGAACAATAACAACAACAAAAAAACCCCACCAGCTAGGTGTGGTGGTGTGTGCCTGTAAACCCAGCAGCTYGGGAGGCTGAGACACAGAATTGCRAGTTCAAAGCCAGCCTCAGCAAAGGTGAGGTGCTAAGCAACTCAGTGAAACCTGGTCTCTAAATAAAATACAAAATAGGGATAGGGATGTGGTTCAGTGGTTGAATGCCCCTGAGTTCAATCCCTGGTACCAAACCACCCCCCACACACAAAAACAAAAATCCACCAAACCTCTGGAAAGAGACATAGAAAACTCTAGTATTGATTACTGATTTTTGAGGGAGGAGGCTTGGGGAGGTAGGTAGAGGAAGAACAAGAAAGAGGGAGGATGGGGCAGTGGATTCAATTCTCGGCATCACGCAAAAAGCAAATTAAATAAAGGTATTGTGCCCATCTACCAAAAAAAAAAAAAAAAAAAAAAATCAGGACTTAAAGAGAGTGGTAGGGCACATGGCATAACAGAACTACCTTGCTTAGGATGAATCCTAGTTCTAGTACTTAGTTACTAAACACCTCAATTTCCTTATTTGTAAAATAGGGATACCTGTACTTTCTCTCATAGGGTTTTTGGAGAAATAAATGATAAAAATAATGAGACAATGCATATAAAGTTTTTAACATATGATAGTTTCACTAAAACTAGTAGCTCCTATTAAACCAATTTAATTTTTCTTTTTTTTTTTTTGCAGCACTGGGGACTGAACTTGAACAGGCTAGGCTCTACCACTAAGCWACACACCCAGCCCTGTGTGTAGATCCCATCTTAATAAAGGGAACACAAGAACAAAGTACATAGATGAGGATGGCCTGAATAAAGAAGAGGATTCTTGTCCAGAAATTAGAAGACAAGGCAGGAAAAAGCAGATGGGGTCTACATTATGGAGAGACCTGAGGTTAACCCAAATTCTGAATTTTAGAACACAAGCTGGGAGTCCCTCAGTGTTGCACTGACAAGGAGCAACTGTGTTACACGTAATAGATGGACAGAAGACTGGAGGGTGAAGAGATGAGATGACAGTCCTGCTTAGAAGTTCCAGAGATCAGGGCTGGGGTGGTGGCTCAGAGGTAGAGTGCTCGCCTAGCATGCATGAGGCACTGGGTTCGATCATCAGCACCATGTAAAATAAAACAAAATAAAGGTATTGTGTCCACCTACAACTTAAAAAAAAAAAAAAAAAAAAAAGTTCCAGAGATGAAAAGCATACCAGTAATCCCCAAGATGCACATTGTCCAAGTCCACTGGATTTCCATGCTGTGAAATGTCACTAAGAATTCAATCTGTTACTGCAAAGCTTTCCAGGGTTTCAAATGCCTATAGGCTGATGGACTGTCATTTTACTTCTTTAAGACATCATAGTATGAGCAAGAGAGTAACACAAACAAGTGTTTTAGAAAGATTAATCAATGCAGGATGAAATCAAAGGCTTATTCAAGAATTAGAAAGTTACACACAAATAACTTGAGTATGGTGATAAAGAAAACAAATTAGTGTGGTAATAAAGAAATTAAAAAGAACAGGAAGACTAAAAGGTATAATAAATTTGAAGAAAAAAGGCAAAGAACTTCTTATCTGATTGGAGTTTAGTTACCCTTAGAAGCTGGCATTGGAGGTCCGAGGACTGCTATGTGATCTCGATCCAGGACAGTGAGTGCAATACCACTTCGAAAATTATCAGACACAACAGCTTTAAGCAACTGTGATTTAACTACCCTCTGATTTTTTTCTGTGTCACTTGGATATATTGGTATCAAGCTTTCATATATACATCCATCAGAGCCTGTTGGAAACAAGTATTAGAGGTTCATAGGGTAAAGGATAGTTCTTTATCTGTTATAATTTAATGTACTAGGTTGTTCCTAACATTTTAACAATTTGATAAATAATCCATCATTCTGTGCTTTCCCTTAAAAAATAACTACAACCTTCAAATGGGGAGAGGGGTATTAGTAATAATAATAAGAATAAAAAATTACAGTAAATAATATTATAATGTTATAATAATGAAGAAATAAAAACTGAAAATAGGGCTCAGCGGTAAGGCACATGCCTAGCACATGCAAGGCCCTGCGTTCCATAAAATAAAGGTATTATGTCCAACTAAAAAATAAAACAAATCTGAAAACACATGTAATAATTTAAAATATAGGGAGAGGTCTACCAAGAATAAAGACAATCTAGTCAATAAGAGATATCCCTGATTAGGAAAAATGATTTTTTTTTTTGGTCCTGAGAATTGAAGCCAGTGCCCCACCATCAGAATATTAATTGAGGGGCTGGGGTTGTGGCTCAAGTGGTAGAGTGCTTGCCTAGCACGTGTGAAGCACTGTGGTTCCTCAGCACCACATAAAATAAAGATATTGTATCCACCTAAAAATAAATACTTAAAAAGAAAAAAAAAAGAATATTGAGATCTAGTTTTTTTT